TCATGATACTTAATAGAAATGGGGAACAAGAGCCAATAGCTCAGTGGTTCAGATCTGCACCAAATGCCTGCTGGATGCAGGATTGTACTGTCTCCAATAATGTGTCTCAGATGGACTAATTCTTTTTCCTTTTTTTTTTTTTTAGACAGAGTCTTGCTCTGTCCCCAGACTGGGGTGCAATGACGCGATCTCAGCTCACTGCAACCTCCGCCTCCCGGGTTCAAGGGATTCTCCTGCCTCAGCCTCCTGAGTAGTTGGGATTACAGACACAGACCATCACGCCCGGCTATTCTTTTTTTTTTTTTTTTTTTTTTAATGCATTTTTAGTAGAGACGAGTTTCACCATGTTGTCAGGTTGATCTCGAACTCCTGACCTCAGTTGATCAGAAGTAGGTGAGGTCAGAAAACATACCCTGGGAGAAGCCGGCACAATGCTCAGAACCACCATCGCTAGCCCTGGGGTTTTTCTTCTGTAGTGGAATTCATGTAGTGCAGGGACAAAACCAATCAGATACTTCTGGGAGTTAAAAAGAGATGCATTTACAGTGCAATTTGAGAAGGGGTATTAAGGAATTTGCCAGGGTACTGACCCGTGTCAGGTGTACACCGCAGGTTGAGAGAGGGCTAAATAGTTTCTGCCCATGAAGGTGATAAGCGAGGGCCTGAAGAAAGAGGGACGGGGAGGACACTGGACCAGAAATAGGAAAGGGCTGCTTGGAGGTGGGAAGGATGGGTCGGGTGCTATCTAGAAAGTTGCCTGGCAATGGATGTAGGATGTGTAAGCGAGACCTCAAACAAGAAGCTGTCGCTTAAATAAAGTCTGAAGAAAGACAAGATACGTAAACGGGCAGGAGATAGGAGGAAACTGGACCCGGCTCCACATAAAACTTCCCGCCTTATACCTCAGGGAGGATCGCAGCGCATTTCGGCCAAGACAGGTTCTGACCTGCGGGCCTGGATGAATATGGGCTAGGGCAGCTGGGCACCGGCAGAGCCGTTTCCCTACGCAAAGTAAGCGTGTTATGTCTACAACCCAACGGGGACAGTAGAGCCCCAAAGGCCTTGCTTTCTTCCCAAAGAACAGCCCCCGTCTACGTAGTTTCTACCTGGATCTAGGAGGTGAGAACACATTCCCCGATAGCACAGAAATCCTACAAACGCGTGTGGAGCTGCCGTTAGAAACAGAGGCTGTGTAAAAAGTGACTGGGGGTTAGAAAAAACAGAGAATGAGAATCCAAGAGACTGGAGACTTTGGACCAATCTCTGCAAAGAGCTGGTCCTTAGAAGGAAAGAGCTGTGCGGCCCTCACTCAAGTTGGCTTGTGTTACAACCGCTGACGCTCCTATCACTTCTGGTAGAGAAGCGACATGTTATTCCTATTCCCAAGTCATCCACTGTTAAAACTACACTTGGAAAACCAGCCCAAACTACAAACCAACAGACGAAAGAAATAACCCTTACTGTACAGTCTATTCTTTAAACACAAAAAAGCCAGGGGAAAGCGCGAACGCAGTCCCCCACTACCACAAATTATGCAGTCGAGTTTCCCACATTTGGGGAAATCGCAGGGGTCAGCACATCCGGAGTGCAATGGATAAGCCTCGCCCTGGGGAAAACCACCTTCGTGATCATGGTATCTCCCCTGCCAGGTAAGTATGAGTTTCTACACCTCTGCCCCGCCCACAGCCTCATACGCCTCACCCTTTACACTCACGGTCACTTGCCACGCGCACTCCCGAGCCCTTCTAGCCCTGACACACACTGGGCTTCTCAAGTCCTACCAACGGTCCTGAACCCGCTCCACAGCATGGAAACTCCTTCGTGCCGAAGCAGCAGGTGGCGAAGAAGCAGCCCTTGCGCTGCCCTCATCTACATAGAAGTCGCCTTATCCGTGATGTCAGCGACAGTGCCCTGCCCAGTCCCCGTCTGCCTTTCTGCCACTCAGCCGCCCAATCCGCTGCAGGAGCGGCCAGGGGGAATGACGTCTGCCTCTCCCTTTTCCCTCCCGCCCCGGCATCTGTTCTCTCCCAAAGAAGCAGGTCCGTAGCCTGTGTTGCGGAGCAACCTTTCCCGCGGCCAGAATGGATCCTGGGCACCCTTCTTCAATAATGGCTTTTAATTCGCAAAACTCCTGTGCGGAACGTTTAGGATTACAAAAGAAACCGGTTCTCTTCACATCCTTATCCTTGTGATGTAGCATTCCGCTTGAAATTGGAAGCCGTTTACTATCAGAGAGAAACCGTATTTATGAAAGTAAAGAGGCAGGTCGGATGACTGCAAACCAGCCTTCCTTACTGGTTTTATCACTGGTAATGTTATAAAGACAGTTGTCCAGTTTCATGAATCTTGTTGCTTGTTTTCCCAAATTCAGGATTGTAGAAAAACTGTGCTGCCCCAGAAGAGATGGTTGGACACTCTCAAGCGTGGTGTTGGACTTTGTCATCTCTTGGGCAGCCATCTCCAGACCTTAGCCCTTACCTTGTGTTAGTTTTTATATTCTGCAAAGACAAAACCAAAATAATCCAAATTTGACACAACTACCCGGGATACATCTTATTTGAGATGTTTAACAAATGCCTGGATCATCTTTCTTACATATTACGCAGCAAACACTGTGAAGTAAGCAAAGTTGGAATGGCCAAGTCAAAGACCATTTGAATATTTAGAAGTAGATTTGAGACAGGAATAATATAGGGTGGTCACAGGATAACAAATTTTAGGCAGTAGATTTACATGACTTGAGACTATGGCTGATAAGACGCTGAAAAACCAGGGTGTGGACCAAGCTGGCTAAGACTGGACCCAATGTAGGGCTGGATTAGACGTAGGTTTTACCTAGGCCCTCATTATATGCTCATTAACATACTAAATCACGCACCTACCAGTGCCATGACGGTTCTGAGATCATTATTTGATGTAAAAATGGATCGCACCACAGTTCCGAGAAATTTCCACTTTTACCTGGGAATTTTCATGAATATTCCACTCCTTGGTTGAAGAAACCCATCAAGATGAAACCCCAGAACCCATTGTTCTGTCTTGGATATACCAAACTCCCCTTTCTTGAGTGCGTACTTTTTGCTTTGCAATAAATCTCTTCTTTCACTATTTGCTGACTCATCCTTCACTTCATTCTTGAGTGGTGTCAAGAGCCTGGACACCACAGCTGGGTCGAGATTCCCCCAGTGTCTGGGGACCTCCCGCATCCCACCAGTATCAGATTCTATTCCATTGCTCAAATCACAAAACATGAGTGGAGAGTTCTCCTTGGAGATCATAAAGTAAAGATTCTGTGGCGTGGTGACCAGTTAGGCCACTGGAAGCATGGCAAAATATTAAAAATGAGGGATTATGTGACCGTGTAGTAACTGCTGAATGCTAAATACTTGATCCAGGCCCCATTCCCTGGAGATTGACAGGGAGACACATTGTCCAGGCAGTAGTGGAGAAATACTTTCTGGGTATCTGACCAGCCTTGTGGAAAGAACTGGCACCATCCTGCAGATGTAACCGCCTGATGGGTTCTTCCTGCCTAATGTACACACAATATCAATTCATGGAGACCATGGCATTGCAGTAAAGAGTTTCATTGACACAGGCCAGCCACGACATGTGGGAGAGAGAGTGTTACCCAAATCAATCTCACTGAAGCTTGGAGGTAATAGGTTTTTCAGATAGTTTGGTGGGGAGGGGCTAGGGCTAGGCGGTGCTGATTGTTGGGATGAAATCACAGGACGTGGAAAATGCCCTCCTGCATTGAGTCAGCTTCTGGGTGGGGCTAAGGACTGGTGATTTTCAGGCCAAATGGTGCCATCCAGTAGTCAGAAATGCAAAAGCCTGAAAAAGACAACTCAAGAGGCCAATCTTAGGTTCTACAATAGTGATGTTCTTCACAGCAGTATTGGGGAAGCTGCAAATCTTGCGACTCTGGAATAATGGCTGGTAATTATTTAACGAGGCATACATCTTAGTAGAATTCACGCCTCTTTCATCCTTCTAACTTGGTGGCCTTTCATGAGTTTTACAGAGGTAATTTAGTTTTGGGGAAGGTTATCATTTACACCACCTTTTTGACTGTCCCCAACCTTTTTGACCAGGACTGGTTTCACAGAAGACAGTTTTTTCATGAAGGGGTGGTGGATGGTTTCCGGATGAAACTGTCCCACCTTAGTCATCAGGCATTAGTCACAGTCTCATAAGGAGTGGCAATCGGATCCTCACATGCGCATTCCCAATAGGGTCGGAGCTCCGATGAGCATCTAATGCTGATCCTGACCTGACAAGAGCGGAGCTCAGGTGGTAATGCTTGAAGGCCTGCAGCTCACCTCCTGCTGTTCGGCTGGGTTCCTAACAGCCATGGACCAGTACCTGTCCTGTGGCCCTGGGGTTGGGACTGCTGATTTAAACTATAAACTCAATTTTCCCCAAAGATAGCTTGGGAAAATTGCACAGGAGAAGCACAGCCAGCTACCTGGAGGCTAGAACCAAGATGGCCAGCCATGTCAGCTTTCTCTTATGTCATAATTTTGCAAAGGTAGTTTCTGAGGGACTGCACTGGACACTTGTTAAAAACATGAGACAGATTTTATTGTATTACTACAATAGCAAGATAGACCACCAAGAACTGAGCTCAACCTGAAATACAGCAGGAGAGTTGAAGATTATAGCCAACTGGTAAGATAAGAAAGTCAGTGGATGGAAAATTACTAAGAGGAACTTGATTAGCTATCAAAAGTGGTTGGGAGGACTCTGCTAAACTAGACTCAACAGTATTCTTTTCTAAACTGGACTTGGCAGGCCAAGAACTAACAGAGAAAAGGGCTCAGAGGAAACTACAGAGGTGTGGTGAAAGATGAGTCCTTGTCAACTCTACACGGAAGCTCTGCAAATAAACAAAGACCAATAAATGGAAAAAGCAAAGGCTATTTATTCCGAGCTTGCTATAGCAGGGAGTCAGTCACTGTGACTTGGTTTTGGCAGAGACTTGAAGGCATCGGAGGGTGGGAAAGCTTTTTAAAAAGAAAGGCTTCAGGTACGCTTGGACTGGAGGCTGTCAGCATGGTGAAGCTGTAGATAGATGAAGAAATCAAAATATTTTACCCCAGAATGTATTTCTTTGGCATATTTTAAGATGGCTGTCAGAGAGCCAGCAAACAGAATTAACTCTGGCAAAACTGTCTTTTGTAGGGGAAATTTACACCTGCAGAGAATCTTCATTAATCCAGCCTTACCTTCTCAGGATTGAGAAAATAAAAATAAGCCTAGGCCCTACAACCAACTGAACGGACTTTTATAGAGAAGGTTTACTGCAGGGGAATATTTATATATAGCAACAAAAAGGTATTTGCCACCACACATACATCTCCCTGCTCCGCTAAATATATCATCTAAAGTCATGTGATTGTCTAGTACAACCTTAGCCAGTGAATAAATAGCTTTTTATTGAGCTGCAAAGGGCCGCAGTTTCATCAGCAATGTATTTTTTCTTTTTCTTTCACAGACAGTGTCTGGCCCTGTGGCCCAGACTGGAGAGCAGTGGCACCATCATAGCTCACTGCAGCCTCGAACTCCTGGACTTAAGTGATCCTCTTGCCTCAACCCCCGAGTCACTGGGATTACAGGCCAGAGCCACCATGCCTGGTTTTCATCAGCAATGTTTCCTGAGTTACAGAAAGATTTGTAATCCTGGAGGAAACACTCCCTTGAAGCAAAGGTGTTCACTCCCAAAAATGCAAGGAGCTATTTCTTGATAGCCAGGCAGATAATTCTCAGGTTTTGCCCCACAGAATCTCTATCTAAAATAGCACAGTGGTCATGCCTAGTGAAAAGTTTGAGGGAATCGCCCAATGTTGGGTTTCTTCAGAGCTATATATATACATCTAAAGGACACTGTCCCTTCATCATTCCATGCTGTTAGACATTTATAGGGCCATGGATGGTGATCTCCTACAGACTAAAATAAATGCTGTTGCAGACAGGTAAGTGTACTACAATTTGAGTACATCAGCTTTTGGGCATTTTAAACCATGGGTCAGACATGTTAGAGCGAGAGGGCAGGTTGATAGCAAGAGGAGGTTTTAGCAAGAAGGGGTGTTTTAATTTTCTAATAGCAAAGTGATGTTTGCCACTGTCATTTCAGAGTGAGGGGATAATTTGTTGTTGTTTGGTTTTGTGCATTTTTTCATTTGTTTGTTGTTTTTGAGACAAGGTCTCATTGTCACCCAGGCTGGATGCAGGGCATGATCAGGATTTACTTCTGCCTTGACCTCATGAATTCAAGCAAACCTCCTTACTAATCCTCCCGAGTATCTGGGACTACAGGCACGTGACATCATACCCTGGGGTGTGAACTGGGATTGATGTTTTCAGTCGGCTCCCTAATGGAATAGGTTCCCTTACTATTCTAGAATACAGAATTGTCTTCATGATTATCATTCTCATGTACGTTATATTTCTACTACTCTGCTAATTTTTTCCTTCTTTCTTTTGTTCTTTTGAGACAGAGTCTCCCTCTGTCACCCAGGCTGTATTACAAATGGCAGGATCTCAGCTAACTGCAACCTCCGCCTCCCAGGTTCAAGTGATTCTTTTGCTTCAGCCTCCTGAGTAGCCACCTGGCTAATTTTGTATTTTTAGTCCAGACAGGGTTTCACCATGTTGGCAGGCTGGTCTCGAACTCATGACCTCAAGTGTTCCACTCGACTCGGCCTCCCAAAGTGCTGGGATTACAGGCATGAGCTACCATGCCTGGCTCTCAAACCATTTTAAGTAAGCAAAGACAGATTTGTCTGGCTTTTTAGTACATTGCTGAATTATCCTCCAATTTGCATTTTTAGGAAGGACCTGGGGAATGGCAACATGGAGATATTGGCTAAAATGTGAACATTTCATGTTCTGCTTCAGTCTCTGTTTTTTTTTTTGTTTTTTTTTTTTTGAGATGGAGTCTCGCTCCTCGCCAGGCTGGAGTACAGTAGCGCGATCTCAGCTCACTGCAAGCTCCGCCTGCCGGGTTCACGCCATTCTCCTGCCTCAGCCTCCCGAGTATGGAACTATAGGCGGCCGTCACCACGCCCGGCTAATTTTTTGTAGTTTTAGTAGAGACGGGGTTTCACCGTGCTGCCAGGATGGTCTCGATCTCTTGACCTCGTGATCCGCCCTCCTCAGCCTCCCTAAAGTGCTGGGATTACAGGCGTGAGCCACTGCGCCCAGTCCTGCTTCAGTCTCTTTGAAAATCCTTCCAATTTGCCTTTTGCAACCAGTTAGTGGCCTTGCCTTCTTCACCAGCATGGGAATTAATTGATAAGGTCAGAATATTTGGGCTCAAAGGTTTCAACAGTTAAGTCAAATTTTCTGCCGAAGCCTGGAGGATCTTGGAGCCTGCTTTAGAAACAGAAGAGTGAAATGTATTTAATTTAGATCAGGGAAGTCCTTTGTAATATTCTTAATTCACGTTTTGGTGAAGCGGTATGCACAATGGTAGGCTCCCCTCTTCCTGTGGTTTTTTGTACTTTTTTTTTTTTTTTTTGAGACAGAGTCTTACTCTGTCACCCCCCAGGCTGGAGTGCAGTGGCACGATCTTCCTCACTGCAACCTCTGCCTCCCGGTTCAAGCGATTCTCCTGCCTCAGCCTTCTAAGTAGCTGGGATTACAGGAGTCTGCCACCATGCTCGGCTAATTTTTGTAGTTTTAGTAAGGACAAGGTTTCACCATGTTGACCAGGCTGGTCTCGAACTCCTGACCTTGGGCTCCCAAAGTGCTGGGATTACAGGCATGTGCCACCACACCCAGCCTAACCAAGATTGTTAAACCATTCTAATTTGTCAAAAGAGTCACACTGGACTTTTTACAAAATAATGTAATGGGCCAGGTGCGGTGGCTCACACCTGTAGTCCCAGCACTTTGGGAAGCTGTAGCAGGAGGATCACGAGGTCAGGAGTTCGAGACCAGTCTGACCAACAAGGTGAAACCGCATGTCTACTAAAAATACAAAAATTAGCCAGGCGTGGTGGTGTGTGCCTGTAATCCCAGCTTCTTAGGAGGCTGAGCAGGAGAATCGCTGGAACCCGGGAGGCAGAGGTTGCAGTGAGCCGAGATTGCACCACTGCACTCCAGCCTAGGCAACAGAGTGAGACTCCATCTCAAAATAAAATAATAAATAATATAAATAAATAAATAATAACGTAACGAAACTTTTCATATCTTTATATATTAAATATTTACATTATCTAAATTGTTCAAAGAATCAAAAAATTCCTCTTTGCTATCAACTTCATTTCATTTGTTGTAACAAACTATCGAGACCATTAATTTAATCTACAGCTAACTCTATTATTTTTTCATGTTAGAAATTCAACAAGAAAATGTTTCCCTAATGAAACCTTCCATTTCAAGCATAAGTAGGCTGGGCGACGTGGCTCACACCTGTAATCTCAGCACTTTGGGAGGCCGAGACAGGTGCATCAGTGGAGGTTAGGAGTTTGAGACCAGCCTGGCTAACATGATGAAACCCCATCTCTACTAAAAATATAAAAATTAGCTGGGCGTGGTGGCGTGTGCCTTTAATCCCAGCTACTCTGGAGGCTGAGGCAGGCAATAGCTTCAACCTGGGAGGCAGAGCTTGCAGTGAGCTCAGATCGCACCACTGCACTCTAGCCTGGGCTACAGAGCAACACGCTGTCTCAAAAACAAATAAATAAATAAGCATAAGTAGTAAAAATATATATAAAATAAAAAATAAGGCACAGGGTCTTGCTCTGTTATCCAGGCTAGAGTGAAGCAGGGCAATCATAGCTGACCAAATTGGAACTTCTGGGCTCAGGAAATCCTCCTGGCTCAGCTTCACTTGTATTTTTTAGAGACGACGTGTTGCCCTGTTGCCGAGGCTGGTCTCCAACTGCTGGCCTAAAGCAATCCTTCCGCCTCAGCCTGTTGACTTGCTGGAGTAAGATGCAAGACATGCAGCCTAGCATTCTACTAAAACAATTTCAACAAATTCTTAATTGTCTTTCTTTTTCTTTTTCTTTCTTTTTTTTTGAGACGGAGTCTCGCTCTGTCGCCCAGGCTGGAGTGCAGTGGCACGACTTGGCTCACTGAACCTCTGCTCCCAGGTTCAAGCAATTCTCCTGCCTCAGCCTCCCGAGTAGCTGAGATACAGCATGTGCCACCATACCCAGCTAATTTGTATTTTAGTAGAGACAGGGTTTCACCATATAGGCCAGGCTGGTCTCCAACTCCCGACCTCGGGATCCGCCCCCCTCAGCCTCTCAGAAGGTGCTGGGATTACAGGCGTGAGCCGCCATGCCCGGCTTGAGCCGGGAGTCTCACTCTGTCACTCAGGCTGGAGGGCAGTGGCACAAGCATAGTTCCCTGCAGCCTGCCTCAGTCTCCCTAGTAGCTGAGATTAGAGTCATGCATCATCATGCCCTGCCAACTTTAAAATTTAGCTAATACTTAAAATTTGTAGAGAAAGGGGTTTCACTCTGTTGCCCAGGCTGGTCTCCAACTCCTAACCTCAACTGATCCTCCCTCCTCAGCCTCCTAAAGTGCTGGGATTGCAGATATGAGCCACCATACCTGGCTTAATTTTCTTATTTTAATTTTATATAAGTAATTATTATTGTTCCTAAGATAATTGGGGCAGTGACTCCTTTAACATTTTAGAGACCTAATCTGTCTATTCACTTCACCGAAAGAGTATGGCAATTTGTTTCATGAGAAAATATCCTATATTGGCCGGGCGCGGTGGCTCAAGCCTGTAATCCAGCACTTTGGGAGGCCGAGACGGGCGGATCACGAGGTCAGGAGATCGAGACCATCCTGGCTAACACGGTGAAACCCCGTCTCTACTAAAAAAATACAAAAAACTAGCCGGGCGAGGTGGCGGGCACCTGTAGTCCCAGCTACTCGGGAGGCTGAGGCAGGAGAATGGTCTAAACCCGGGAGGCGGAGCTTGCAGTGAGCTGAGATCCGGCCACTGCACCCCAGCCTGGGCGACAGAGCAAGACTCTGTCTCAAAAAAAAAAAAAAAAAAAAAAAGAAAATATCCTATATTTATAAAGCAGGAAAATTACTTCCACCAAACTAGGGGGCATTCTCAAGAAACCAATTGTGCTAAGTAACATCACTTCAGGTGAAAAGAGAGGCAATGGTATCTATTAACAATGTTTATCAGTGAAGGAAATAAACTGAAAAATATGAACATCATTAGATCCTTGGAGGGCCTTCATTGCTGAAAATCTGAGTAATATTGTGATACCCTTTCGAGTTGGGCAGAACATTCTCTTTCTAGGGCATGTAACAGTGGGTGAATAATTTCTTTTCATTCATTTTCATTAAACTGAACTTCCTTAATGTTCTGGAGATTATTAAATTTGATTTGTATAGTTGTGAAAAGTGCTGATTCCATTGCTTGTATGTGATCATATAAATCTTTTCTCTCCTTTCTGTAGTGTGCTTTAAACTTAATCCTTAAAGGACATGTATTGGAATTTTTCAGCTGGTTAGAAACCTGAATACACCAATCAAAGAAAACTGCTCCTTACATGCTACAGATTTAGTTTCCTTCCTGTACTAAGATGTCTTTTAGATATAGTAAATTTGTTCAAGCCAAGAGCTCCTTTGGAACGAAGTTGGGTGGGAGGGGGGACATTGAATAGTAACATCACACTTGTAATAGAGATGCCACTCTTGCAGGTATTGACAACTATTGGACCCATAATATTTTTACCAAACATTGGAAAGACAAGATCTGAACAACTTATCATTGCTGCAGTCTCAAGTATCAGGAAATACCATTATTCTCAGGACAATAAAGGGGCAATAAAAAAGACTCACAGACCAGATTAGCTGTCATGGTCAACAGGGACAAGGGTCAACGCGACCCAACAGAGACTGTACCCAGAAATTCACTTCATAACCTCAAAACCAAAAACCCACATTGATGGCAAAAAAATAATGATGCAATAATGTGTGTGTGAGAGGCAGAGTCCTGTCCTATAGTCGTACTTAGTGGGTAAAAGCCAAAGAGCTCAATTTCTGCTCATGATACTTAATAGAACATGGGGAACAAGAGCCAATAGCTCAGTGGGTTCAGATCTGCACCAAGTGCCTGTTGGATGCAGGATTGTCAGGATTGTACTGTCTCCAATAATGTGTCTCAGATGGACTAATTCTTTTTTCTTTTTTTTTTTTAGACAGAGTCTTGCTCTGTCACCCAGACTGGGGTGCAATGACGCGATCTCAGCTCACTGCAACCTCCGCCTCCCGGGTTCAAGGGATTCTCCTGCCTCAGCCTCCTGAGTAGTTGGGATTACAGACACAGACCATCACGCCCGGCTATTCTTTTTTTTTTTTTTTTTTTTTTTTTTAATGCATTTTTAGTAGAGACGGAGTTTCACCATGTTGGTCAGGTTGATCTCGAACTCCTGACCTCAGTTGATCAGAAGTAGGTGAGGTCAGAAAACATACCCTGGGAGAAGCCGGCACAATGCTCAGAACCACCATCGCTAGCCCTGGGGTTTTCTTCTGTAGTGGAATTCATGTAGTGCAGGGACAAAACCAATCAAATACTTCTGGGAGTTAAAAAGAGATGCATTTACAGTGCAATTTGAGAAGGGGTATTAAGGAATTTGCCAGGGTACTGACCCGTGTCAGGTGTACACCGCAGGTTGAGAGAGGGCTAAATAGTTTCTGCCCATGAAGGTGATAAGCGAGGGCCTGAAGAAAGAGGGACACGGGAGGACACTGGCACCAGAAATAGGAAAGGGCTGCTTGGAGGTGGGAAGGATGGGTCGGGGTGCTATCTAGAAAGTTGCCTGGCAATGGATGTAGGATGTGTAAGCGAGACCTCAAACAAGAAGCTGTCGCTTAAATAAAGTCTGAAGAAAGACAAGATACGTAAACGGCAGGAGATAGGAGGAAACTGGACCCGGCTCCACATAAAACTTCCCGCCTTATACTTCAGGGAGGATCGCAGCGCATTTCGGCCAAGACAGGTTCTGACCTGCGGGCCTGGATGAATATGGGCTAGGGCAGCTGGGCACCGGCAGAGCCGTTTCCCTACGCAAAGTAAGCGTGTTATGTCTACAACCCAACGGGGACAGTAGAGCCCCAAAGGCCTTGCTTTCTTCCCAAAGAACAGCCCCCGTCTACGTAGTTTCTACCTGGATCTAGGAGGTGAGAACACATTCCCCGATAGCACAGAAATCCTACAAACGCGTGTGGGAGCTGCCGTTAGAAACAGAGGCTGTGTGAAAAGTGACTGGAGGTTAGAAAAACACAGAGAATGAGAACCCAAGAGACTGGAGACTTTGGACCAATCTCTGCAAAAAGCTGGTCCTTAGAAAGGAAAGAGCTGTGCGGCCCTCACTCAAGTTAGCTTGTGTTACAACCGCTGACGCTCATATCAACCTCTGGCAGAGAAGCGACATGCTATTTCCTATTCCCAAGTCATCCACTGTTAAAACTACACTTGGAAAACTACCCCAAACTACAAACGAACAGACGAAAGAAACAACCCTTACTGTACAGTCTATTCTTTAAACACAAAAAAAGTCAGGGGAAAGCGCGAACGCAGTCCCCCACTACCACAAATTATGCAGTCGAGTTTCCCACATTTGGGGAAATCGCAGGGGTCAGCACATCCGGAGTGCAATGGATAAGCCTCGCCCTGGGAAAACCACCTTCGTGATCATGGTATCTCCCCTGCCAGGTAAGTATGAGTTTCTACACCTCTGCCCCGCCACAGCCTCATACGCCTCACTCTTTACACTCACGGTCACTTGCCACGCGCACTCCCGAGCCCTTCTAGCCCTGACACACAGCTGGGCTTCTCAAGTCCTACCAACGGTCCTGAACCCGCTCCACAGCATGGAAACTCCTTCGTGCCGAAGCAGCAGGTGGCGAAGAAGCAGCCCTTGCGCTGCCTCATCTACATAGAAGTCGCCTTATCCGTGATGTCAGCGACAGTGCCCTGCCCAGTCCCCGTCTGCCTTTCTGCCACTCAGCCGCCCAATCCGCTGCAGGAGCGGCCAGGGGGAAGTGACGTCTGCCTCTCCCTTTTTCCCTCCCGCCCCGGCATCTGTTCTCTCCCAAAGAAGCAGGTCCGTAGCCTGTGTTGCGGAGCAACCTTTCCGCGGCCAGATGGATCCTGGGCACCCTTCTTCAAATAATGGCTTTTAATTCGCAAAATCTCCTGTGCGGAACGTTTAGGATTACAAAAGAAACCGGTTCTCTTCACATCCTTATCCTTGTGATGTAGCATTCCGCTTGAAATTGGAAGCCGTTTACTATCAGAGAGAAACCGTATTTATGAAAGTAAAGAGGCAGGTCGGATGACTGCAAACCAGCCTTCCTTACTGGTTTTATCACTGGTAATGTTATAAAGACAGTTGTCCAGTTTCATGAATCTTGTTGCTTGTTTTCCAAATTCAGGATTGTAGAGAAATATGCTGCCCCAGAAGAGATGATTGGACACTCTCAAGCGTGGTGTTGGACTTTGTCATCTCTTGGGCAGCCATCTCCAGACCTTAGCCCTTACCTTGTGTTAGTTTTTTATATTCTGCAAAGACAAAACCAAAATAATCCAAATTTGACACAACTACCCGGGATACATCTTATTTGAGATGTTTAACAAATGCCTGGATCATCTTTTTTTATATATTATGCAGGAAACACTGTGAAGTAAGCAAAGTTGAGCTGCTCAAGTCAAAGGCCATTTGAATATTTAGAAGTAGATTTGAGACAGGAATAATATAGGGTGGTCACAGGATAACAAATTTTAGGCAGTAGATTTACATGACTTGAGGCTATGGGCTGATAAGACGCTGAAAAACCAGGGTGTGGACCAAGCTGGCTAAGACTGGACCCAATGTAGGGCTGGATTAGACGTAGGTTTTACCTAGGCCCTCATTATATGCTCATTAACATACTAAATCACGCACCTACCAGTGCCATGACGGTTCTGAGATCATTATTTGATGTAAAAATGGATCGCACCACAGTTCCGAGAAATTTCCACTTTTACCTGGGAATTTTCATGAATATTCCACTCCTTGGTTGAAGAAACCCATCAAGATGAAACCCCAGAACCCATTGTTCTGTCTTGGATATACCCAAACTCCCCTTTCTTGAGTGCGTACTTTTTGCTTTGCAATAAATCTCTTCTTTCACTATTTGCTGACTCATCCTTCACTTCATTCTTGAGGTGGTGTCAAGAGCCTGGACAACACAGCTGGGGTCGAGATTCCCCCAGTGTCTGGGGACCTCCCGCATCCCACCAGTATCAGATTCTATTCCATTGCTCAAATCACAAAACATGGAGTGGAGAGTTCTCCTTGGAGATCATAAAGTAAAGATTCTGTGGCATGGTGACCAGTTAGGCCACTGGAAGGCATGGCAAAATATTAAAAATGAGGGATTATGTGACCGTGTAGTAACTGCTGAATGCTAAATACTTGATCCAGGCCCCATTCCCTGGAGATTGACAGGGAGACACATTGTCCAGGCAGTAGTGGAGAAATACTTTCTGGGTATCTGACCAGCCTTTGTGGAAAGAACTGGCACCATCCTGCAGATGTAACCGCCTGATGGGTTCTTCCTGCCTAATGTACACACAAAATCAATTCATGGAGACCATGGCATTGCAGTAAAGAGTTTCATTGACACAGGCCAGCCACGACATGTGGGAGAGAGAGTTGTTACCCAAATCAATCTCACTGAAAGCCTGGAGGCAATGGGTGTTTCAGATAGTTTGGTGGGGAGGGGGCTAGGGCTTGGGCGGTGCTGATTGTTGGGGATGAAATCACAGGGACGTGGAAAATGGCCCTCCGGCATTGAGTCAGCTTCTGGGTGGGGGCTAAGGGACTGGTTGATTTTCAGGCCAAATGGTGCCATCCAGTAGTCAGAAATGCAAAAGCCTGAAAAGACAACTCAAGAGGCCAATCTTAGGTTCTACAATAGTGATGTTCTTCACAGCAGTAATTGGGGAAGCTGCAAATCTTGCGATCTCTGGAATAATGGCTGGTAATTATTTAATGAGGCATACATCTTAGTAGAATTCACGCCTCTTTCATCCTTCTAACTTGGTGGCCTTTCATGAGTTTTACAGAGGTAATTTAGTTTTGGGGAAGGTTATCATTTACACCAACCTTTTTGACTGTCCCCAACCTTTTTGGCACCAGGGACTGGTTTCACAGAAGACAGTTTTTTCATGGAAGGGGGTGGTGGATGGTTTCCGGATGAAACTGTCCCACCTTAGGTCATCAGGCATTAGTCACAGTCTCATAAGGAGTGTGCAATCTGGATCCCTCACATGTGCAGTTCCCAATAGGGTCCGAGCTCCGATGAGCATCTAATGCTGATGCAGATCTGACAAGAGGCGGAGCTCAGGTGGTAATGCTTGAAGGCCTGCAGCTCACCTCCTGCTGTTCGGCTGGGTTCCTAACAGGCCATGGACCAGTACTTGTCCTGTGGCCCTGGGGGTTGGAGACTGCTGATTTAAACTATAAACTCAATTTTTCCCAAAGACAGCTTGGGAGAAATTGCACAGGAGTAAGCAAAGCCAGCTAACCTGTGAGGCTAGAACCAAGATGGGGCCAGCCATGTCAGCTTTCTCTTACTGTCATAATTTTGCAAAGGTAGTTTTTGAGGGACTACACTGGACACTTGTTAAAAACATGAGACAGATTTTATTGTATGTGCTACAATAGGCAAGATAGACCACCAAAGAACTGAGCTCAACCTGAAATACAGCAGGAGGAGTTGAAGATTATAGCCAACTGGTAAGATAAGAAAGTCAGTGGATGGAAAATTACTAAGAGGAACTTGATTAGCTATCAAAAGTGGTTGGGAGGACTCCTGCTAAACTAGACTCAACAGTATTCTTTTCTAAAACTGGACTTGGCAGGCCAAGAACTAACAGAGAAAAGGGCTCAGAGGAAACTACAGAGGTGTGGTGAAAGATGGAGTCCTTGTCAACTCTACACGGAAGCTTCTGCAAATAAACAAAGACCAACCAAATGGAAAAAAGCAAAGGCAATTTATTCTGAGCTTGCTATAGCAGGGAGTCAGTCACTGTGACTTGTGTTTTGGCAGAGACTTGAAGGCAGTCAGGAGGGTGGGAAAGCTTTTTAAAAAGAAAGGCTTCAGGTACGCTTGGACTGGAGGCTGTCAGCATGGTGAAGCTGTAGATAGATGAAGGAAATCAAAATATTTTACACCAGAATGTATTTCTTTGGCATATTTTAAGATGGCTGTCAGAGAGCCAGCAAACAGAATTAACTCTGCAAAACTGTCTTTTGTAGGGGAAATTTACACCTGCAGAGAATCTTCATTAATCCAGCCTTACCTTCTCAGGATTGAGAAATAAAAATAAGCCCTAGGCCCTACAACCAACTGAACGGACTTTTTATAGAGAAGGTTCTACTGCATGGGGAATATTTATATATATGCAACAAAAGGTATTTGCCACCACACATACATCTCCCTGCTCCGCTAAATATATCATCTAAAGTCATGTGATTGTCTAGTACAACCTTAGCCAGTGAATAAATAGCTTTTTATTGAGCTGCATAAGAGGCCGCAGTTTCATCAGCAATGTATTTCTTTCTTTTTCTTTCACAGACAGTGTCTGGCCCTGTGGCCCAGACTGGAGAGCAGTGGCACCATCATAGCTCACTGCAGCCTCGAACTCCTGGACTTAAGTGATCCTCTTGCCTCAACCCCCGAGTCACTGGGATTACAGGCCAGAGCCACCATGCCTGGTTTTCATCAGCAATGTTTCCTGAAGTTACAGAAAGATTTGTAATCCTGGGAGGAAACACTCCCTTGAAGCAAAGGTGTTCACTCCCCAAAAATGCAAGGAGCTATCTTCTTGATAGCCAGGCAGATAATTCTCAGGTTTTGCCCCACAGAATCTCTATCTAAAATAGCACAGTGGTCATGCCTAGTGAAAAGTTTGAGGGAAGTCGCCCAATGTTGGGTTTTTCAGAGCTATATACATACATATCCTAAAGGACTCTGTCCCTTCATCATTCCATGCTGTTAGACATTTATAGGGCCATGGATGGTGATCTCCTACAGACTAAAATAAATGCTGTTGCAGAACAGGTAAGTGTACTACAATTTGAGTACATCAGCTTTTGGGCATTTTAAACCATGGGTCAGACATGTTAGAGCGAGAGGGCAGGTTGATAGCAAGAGGGAGTGTTTTAGCAAGAAGGGGTGTTTTAATTTTCTAATAGCAAAGTGATGTTTGCCACTGTCATTTCAGAGTGAGGGGATAATTTGTTGTTGTTTGGTTTTGTGCATTTTTTCATTTGTTTGTTTGTTTTTGAGACAAGGTCTCATTGTCACCCAGGCTGGACTGCAGTGGCATGATCAGGATTTACTTCTGCCTTGGCCTCATGAATTCAAGCAAACCTCCTTACTAATCCTCCCGAGTATCTGGGACTACAGGCACGTGACATCATACCCTGGGGTGTGAACTGGGATTTGATGTTTTCAGTCGGCTCCCTAATGGAATAGGTTCCCTTACTATTCTAGAATACAGATTGTCTTCATGATTATCATTCTCATGTACGTTATATTTCTACTACTCTGCTAATTTTTTCTTCTTTCTTTTGTTCTTTTTGAGACAGAGTCTCCCTCTGTCACCCAGGCTGTATTACAATGGCAGGATCTCAGCTAACTGCAACCTCCGCCTCCCAGGTTCAAGTGATTCTTTTGCTTCAGCCTCCTGAGTAGCCACCTGGCTAATTTTTGTATTTTTAGTCCAGACAGGGTTTCACCATGTTGGCAGGCTGGTCTTGAACTCATGACCTCAAGTGTTCCACTCGACTCGGCCTCCCAAAGTGCTGGGATTACAGGCATGAGCTACCATGCCTGGCTCTCAAACCATTTTAAGTAAGCAAAGACAGATTTGTCTGGCTTTTTAGTACATTGCTGAATTATCCTCCAATTTGCATTTTTAGGAAGGACCTGGGGAATGGCAACATGGAGATATTTGGCTAAAATGTGAACATTTCATGTTCTGCTTCAGTCTCTGTTTTTTTTTTTTTTTGTTTGTTTGTTTTTTTGAGATGGAGTCTCGCTCCTCGCCCAGGCTGGAGTACAGTAGCGCGATCTCAGCTCACTGCAAGCTCCGCCTGCCGGGTTCACGCCATTCTCCTGCCTGAGCCTCCCGAGTATGGAACTATAGGCGGCCGTCACCACGCCCGGCTAATTTTTTGTAGTTTTAGTAGAGACGGGGTTTCACCGTGCTCGCCAGGATGGTCTCGATCTCTTGACCTCGTGATCCGCCCTCCTCAGCCTCCCTAAAGTGCTGGGATTACAGGCGTGAGCCACTGCGCCCAGTCCTGCTTCAGTCTCTTTGAAAATCCTTCCAATTTGCCTTTTGCAACCAGTTAGTGGCCTTGCCTTCTTCACCAGCATGGGAATTAATTGATAAGGTCAGAATATTTGGGCTCAAAGGTTTCAACAGTTAAGTCAAATTTTCTGCCAAAGCCTGGAGGATCTTGGAGCCCGCTTTAGAAACAGAAGAGTGAAATGTATTTACATTTAGATCAGGGAAGTCCTTTGTAATATTCTTAATTCACGTTTTGGTGAAGCGGTATGCACAATGGTAGGCTCCCCTTTTCCTGTGGTTTTTTGTACTTTTTTTTTTTTTTTTTTTTTTTGAGACAGAGTCTTACTCTGTCACCCCCCAGGCTGGAGTGCAGTGGCACGATCTTCCTCACTGCAACCTCTGCCTCCCGGTTCAAGCGATTCTCCTGCCTCAGCCTTCTAAGTAGCTGGGATTACAGGAGTTTGCCACCATGCTCGGCTAATTTTTGTAGTTTTAGTAAGGACAGGGTTTCACCATGTTGACCAGGCTGGTCTCGAACTCCTGACCTTGGGCTCCCAAAGTGCTGGGATTACAGGCATGTGCCACCACACCCAGCCTAACCAAGATTGTTAAACCATTCTAATTTGTCAAAAGGGTCACACTGACTTTTTACAAAATAATGTAATGGGCCAGGTGCGGTGGCTCACACCTGCAGTCCCAGCACTTTGGGAAGCTGTAGCAGGAGGATCACGAGGTCAGGAGTTCGAGACCAGTCTGACCAACAAGGTGAAACCGCATGTCTACTAAAAATACAAAAATTAGCCAGGCGTGGTGGTGTGTGCCTGTAATCCCAGCTTCTTAGGAGGCTGAGGCAGGAGAATCGCTGGAACCCGGGAGGCAGAGGTTGCAGTGAGCCGAGATTGCACCACTGCACTCCAGCCTAGGCAACAGAGTGAGACTCCATCTCAAAATATAAATAAATAAATAAATAAATAAATAATAACATAACGAACTTTTTCATATCTTTATATATTAAATATTTACATTATCTAAATTGTTCAAAAGAATCAAAAAATTCCTCTTTGCTATCAACTTCATTTCATTTGTTGTAACAAACTATCGAGACCATTAATTTAATCTACAGCTAACTCTATTATTTTTTCATGTTAGAAATTCAACAAGAAAATGTTTCCCTAATGAAACCTTCCATTTCAAGCATAAGTAGGCTGGACGAGGTGGCTCACACCTGTAATCTCAGCACTTTGGGAGGCCGAGACAGGTGCATCAGTGGAGGTTAGGAGTTTGAGACCAGCCTGGCTAACATGATGAAACCCCATCTCTACTAAAAATATAAAAATTAGCTGGGCGTGGTGGCGTGTGCCTTTAATCCCAGCTACTCTGGAGGCTGAGGCAGGCAATAGCTTCAACCTGGGAGGCAGAGCTTGCAGTGAGCTCAGATCGCACCACTGCACTCTAGCCTGGGCTACAGAGCAAGACGCTGTCTCAAAAACAAATAAATAAATAAGCATAAGTAGTAAAAAAATATATAAAATAAAAAATAAGGCACAGGGTCTTGCTCTGTTATCCAGGCTAGAGTGAAGCAGGGCAATCATAGCTGACCAAATTGGAACTTCTGGGCTCAGGAAATCCTCCTGGCTCAGCTTCACTTGTATTTTTTTAGAGACGACGTGTTGCCCTGTTGCCGAGGCTGGTCTCCAACTGCTGGCCTAAAGCAATCCTTCCGCCTCAGCATGTTGACTTGCTGGGAGTACAGATGCAAGACATGCAGCCTAGGCCGGGCGCGGTGGCTCATGCCTGTAATCCCAGCACTTTGGGAGGCCGAGGCGGGTGGATCACAAGGTCAGGAGATCGAGACCACGGTGAAACCCCGTCTCTACTAAAAATACAAAAAATTAGCCGGGCGCCGTTGTGGGCGCCTGTAGTCCCAGCTACTCGGGAGGCTGAGGCAGGAGAATGGCGTGAACCCGGGAGGCGGAGCTTTCAGTGAGCCGAGATCGTGCCACTGCACTCCAGCCTGGGCGACAGAGCAAGACTCTGTCTCAAAAAAAAAAAAAAAAAAAAGAAAATATCCTATATTTATAAAGCAGGAAAATTACTTCCACCAAACTAGGGGGCATTCTCAAGAAACCAATTGTGCTAAGTAACATCACTTCAGGTGAAAAGAGAGGCAATGGTATCTATCAACAATGTTTATCACTGAAGGAAATAAACTGAAAAATATGAACATCATTAGCTCCTTGGAGGGCCTTCATTGCTGAAAATCTGAGTAATATTGTGATACCCTTTCGAGTTGGGCAGAACATTCTCTTTCTAGGGATGTAACAGTGGGTGAATAATTTCTTTTCATTCATTTTCATTAAGGACTGAACTTCCTTAATGTTCTGGAGATTGTTAAATTTGATTTGTATAGTTGTGAAAAGTGCTGATTCCATTGCTTGTATGTGATCATATAAATCTTTTCTCTCCTTTCTGTAGTGTGGTTTAAACTTAATCCTTAAAGGACATGTATTTGAATTTTTCAGCTGGTTAGAAACCTGAATACACCAATCAAAGAAAACTGCTCCTTACATGCTACAGATTTAGTTTCCTTCCTGTACTAAGATGTCTTTTAGATATAGTAAATTTGTTCAAGCCAAGAGCTCCTATGGAACGAAGTTGGGTGGGAGGGGGGACATTGAATAGTAACATCACACTTGTAATAGAGATGCCACTCTTGCAGGTATTGACAACTATTGGACCCATAATATTTTTACCAAACATTGGAAAGACAAGATCTGAACAACTTATCATTGCTGCAGTCTCAAGTATCAGGAAATACCATTATTCTCAGGACAATAAAGGGGCAATAAAAAAGACTCACAGACCAGATTAGCTGTCATGGTCAACAGGGACAAGGGTCAACGCGACCCAACAGAGATTGTCCCCAGAAATTCATTTCATAACCTCAAAACCAAAAACCCACACTGATGGCAAAAAAATAATGATGCAACAATGTGTGTGTGTGAGACAGAGTCCTGTCCTATAGTCGTACGTAGTGGGTAAAAGCCAAAGAGCTCAATTTCTGCTCATGATACTTAATAGAACATGGGGAACAAGAGCCAATAGCTCAGTGGGTTCAGATCTGCACCAAATGCCTGCTGGATGCAGGATTGTACTGTCTCCAATAATGTGTCTCAGATGGACTAATTCTTTTTCCTTTTTTTTTTTTTTAGACAGAGTCTTGCTCTGTCACCCAGACTGGGGTGCAATGACGCGATCTCAGCTCACTGCAACCTCCGCCTCCCGGGTTCAAGGGATTCTCCTGCCTCAGCCTCCTGAGTAGTTGGGATTACAGACACAGACCATCACGCCCGGCTATTCTTTTTTTTTTTTTTTTTTTAATGCATTTTTAGTAGAGACGGAGTTTCACCATGTTGGTCAGGTTGATCTCGAACTCCTGACCTCAGTTGATCAGAAGTAGGTGAGGTCAGAAAACATACCCTGGGAGAAGCCGGCACAATGCTCAGAACCACCATCGCTAGCCCTGGGGTTTTCTTCTGTAGTGGAATTCATGTAGTGCAGGGACAAAACCAATCAGATACTTCTGGGAGTTAAAAAGAGATGCATTTACAGTGCAATTTGAGAAGGGGTATTAAGGAATTTGCCAGGGTACTGACCCGTGTCAGGTGTACACCGCAGGTTGAGAGAGGGCTAAATAGTTTCTGCCCATGAAGGTGATAAGCGAGGGCCTGAAGAAAGAGGGACGGGGGAGGACACTGGCACCAGAAATAGGAAAGGGCTGCTTGGAGGTGGGAAGGATGGGTCGGGGTGCTATCTAGAAAGTTGCCTGGCAATGGATGTAGGATGTGTAAGCGAGACCTCAAACAAGAAGCTGTCGCTTAAATAAAGTCTGAAGAAAGACAAGATACGTAAACGGCAGGAGATAGGAGGAAACTGGACCCGGCTCCACATAAAACTTCCCGCCTTATACCTCAGGGAGGATCGCAGCGCATTTCGGCCAAGACAGGTTCTGACCTGCGGGCCTGGATGAATATGGGCTAGGGCAGCTGGGCACCGGCAGAGCCGTTTCCCTACGCAAAGTAAGCGTGTTATGTCTACAACCCAACGGGGACAGTAGAGCCCCAAAGGCCTTGCTTTCTTCCCAAAGAACAGCCCCCGTCTACGTAGTTTCTACCTGGATCTAGGAGGTGAGAACACATTCCCCGATAGCACAGAAATCCTACAAACGCGTGTGGGAGCTGCCGTTAGAAACAGAGGCTGTGTAAAAAGTGACTGGGGGTTAGAAAAACACAGAGAATGAGAATCCAAGAGACTGGAGACTTTGGACCAATCTCTGCAAAGAGCTGGTCCTTAGAAAGGAAAGAGCTGTGCGGCCCTCACTCAAGTTGGCTTGTGTTACAACCGCTGACGCTCCTATCACTTCTGGTAGAGAAGCGACATGTTATTTCCTATTCCCAAGTCATCCACTGTTAAAACTACACTTGGAAAACCAGCCCAAACTACAAACCAACAGACGAAAGAAATAACCCTTACTGTACAGTCTATTCTTTAAACACAAAAAGCCAGGGGAAAGCGCGAACGCAGTCCCCCACTACCACAAATTATGCAGTCGAGTTTCCCACATTTGGGGAAATCGCAGGGGTCAGCACATCCGGAGTGCAATGGATAAGCCTCGCCCTGGGAAAACCACCTTCGTGATCATGGTATCTCCCCTGCCAGGTAAGTATGAGTTTCTACACCTCTGCCCCGCCACAGCCTCATACGCCTCACCCTTTACACTCACGGTCACTTGCCACGCGCACTCCCGAGCCCTTCTAGCCCTGACACACAGCTGGGCTTCTCAAGTCCTACCAACGGTCCTGAACCCGCTCCACAGCATGGAAACTCCTTCGTGCCGAAGCAGCAGGTGGCGAAGAAGCAGCCCTTGCGCTCCCTCATCTACATAGAAGTCGCCTTATCCGTGATGTCAGCGACAGTGCCCTGCCCAGTCCCCGTCTGCCTTTCTGCCACTCAGCCGCCCAATCCGCTGCAGGAGCGGCCAGGGGGAAGTGACGTCTGCCTCTCCCTTTTTCCCTCCCGCCCCGGCATCTGTTCTCTCCCAAAGAAGCAGGTCCGTAGCCTGTGTTGCGGAGCAACCTTTCCGCGGCCAGATGGATCCTGGGCACCCTTCTTCAAATAATGGCTTTTAATTCGCAAAAACTCCTGTGCGGAACGTTTAGGATTACAAAAGAAACCGGTTCTCTTCACATCCTTATCCTTGTGATGTAGCATTCCGCTTGAAATTGGAAGCCGTTTACTATCAGAGAGAAACCGTATTTATGAAAGTAAAGAGGCAGGTCGGATGACTGCAAACCAGCCTTCCTTACTGGTTTTATCACTGGTAATGTTATAAAGACAGTTGTCCAGTTTCATGAATCTTGTTGCTTGTTTTCCAAATTCAGGATTGTAGAAAACTGTGCTGCCCCAGAAGAGATGGTTGGACACTCTCAAGCGTGGTGTTGGACTTTGTCATCTCTTGGGCAGCCATCTCCAGACCTTAGCCCTTACCTTGTGTTAGTTTTTTATATTCTGCAAAGACAAAACCAAAATAATCCAAATTTGACACAACTACCCGGGATACATCTTATTTGAGATGTTTAACAAATGCCTGGATCATCTTTTCTTACATATTACGCAGCAAACACTGTGAAGTAAGCAAAGTTGGAATGGCCAAGTCAAAGACCATTTGAATATTTAGAAGTAGATTTGAGACAGGAATAATATAGGGTGGTCACAGGATAACAAATTTTAGGCAGTAGATTTACATGACTTGAGACTATGGGCTGATAAGACGCTGAAAAACCAGGGTGTGGACCAAGCTGGCTAAGACTGGACCCAATGTAGGGCTGGATTAGACGTAGGTTTTACCTAGGCCCTCATTATATGCTCATTAACATACTAAATCACGCACCTACCAGTGCCATGACGGTTCTGAGATCATTATTTGATGTAAAAATGGATCGCACCACAGTTCCGAGAAATTTCCACTTTTACCTGGGAATTTTCATGAATATTCCACTCCTTGGTTGAAGAAACCCATCAAGATGAAACCCCAGAACCCATTGTTCTGTCTTGGATATACCAAACTCCCCTTTCTTGAGTGCGTACTTTTTGCTTTGCAATAAATCTCTTCTTTCACTATTTGCTGACTCATCCTTCACTTCATTCTTGAGGTGGTGTCAAGAGCCTGGACACCACAGCTGGGGTCGAGATTCCCCCAGTGTCTGGGGACCTCCCGCATCCCACCAGTATCAGATTCTATTCCATTGCTCAAATCACAAAACATGGAGTGGAGAGTTCTCCTTGGAGATCATAAAGTAAAGATTCTGTGGCGTGGTGACCAGTTAGGCCACTGGAAGGCATGGCAAAATATTAAAAATGAGGGATTATGTGACCGTGTAGTAACTGCTGAATGCTAAATACTTGATCCAGGCCCCATTCCCTGGAGATTGACAGGGAGACACATTGTCCAGGCAGTAGTGGAGAAATACTTTCTGGGTATCTGACCAGCCTTTGTGGAAAGAACTGGCACCATCCTGCAGATGTAACCGCCTGATGGGTTCTTCCTGCCTAATGTACACACAATATCAATTCATGGAGACCATGGCATTGCAGTAAAGAGTTTCATTGACACAGGCCAGCCACGACATGTGGGAGAGAGAGTTGTTACCCAAATCAATCTCACTGAAGGCTTGGAGGTAATAGGTTTTTCAGATAGTTTGGTGGGGAGGGGGCTAGGGCTAGGCGGTGCTGATTGTTGGGGATGAAATCACAGGGACGTGGAAAATGGCCCTCCTGCATTGAGTCAGCTTCTGGGTGGGGGCTAAGGGACTGGTTGATTTTCAGGCCAAATGGTGCCATCCAGTAGTCAGAAATGCAAAAGCCTGAAAAGACAACTCAAGAGGCCAATCTTAGGTTCTACAATAGTGATGTTCTTCACAGCAGTAGTTGGGGAAGCTGCAAATCTTGCGACCTCTGGAATAATGGCTGGTAATTATTTAACGAGGCATACATCTTAGTAGAATTCACGCCTCTTTCATCCTTCTAACTTGGTGGCCTTTCATGAGTTTTACAGAGGTAATTTAGTTTTGGGGAAGGTTATCATTTACACCAACCTTTTTGACTGTCCCCAACCTTTTTGGCACCAGGGACTGGTTTCACAGAAGACAGTTTTTTCATGGAAGGGGGTGGTGGATGGTTTCCGGATGAAACTGTCCCACCTTAGGTCATCAGGCATTAGTCACAGTCTCATAAGGAGTGCGCAATCCGGATCCGTCACATGCGCAGTTCCCAATAGGGTCGGAGCTCCGATGAGCATCTAATGCTGATCCTGACCTGACAAGAGGCGGAGCTCAGGTGGTAATGCTTGAAGGCCTGCAGCTCACCTCCTGCTGTTCGGCTGGGTTCCTAACAGGCCATGGACCAGTACCTGTCCTGTGGCCCTGGGGGTTGGGGACTGCTGATTTAAACTATAAACTCAATTTTCCCCAAAGATAGCTTGGGAGAAATTGCACAGGAATGAGCACAGCCAGCTAGCCTGTGAGGCTAGAACCAAGATGGGGCCAGCCATGTCAGCTTTCTCTTATTGTCATAATTTTGCAAAGGTAGTTTCTGAGGGACTGCACTGGACACTTGTTAAAAACATGAGACAGATTTTATTGTATGTACTACAATAGGCAAGATAGACCACCAGAGAACTGAGCTCAACCTGAAATACAGCAGGAGGAGTTGAAGATTATAGCCAACTGGTAAGATAAGAAAGTCAGTGGATGGAAAATTACTAAGAGGAACTTGATTAGCTATCAAAACTGGTTGGGAGGACTCTTGCTAAACTAGACTCAACAGTATTCTTTTCTAAAACTGGACTTGGCAGGCCAAGAACTAACAGAGAAAAGGGCTTAGAGGAAACTACTGAGGTGTGGTGAAAGATGGAGTCCTTGTCAACTCTACACTGAAGCTTCTGCAAATAAACAAAGACCAATTAAATGGAAAAAGCAAAGGCTATTTATTCCGAGCTTGCTATAGCAGGGAGTCAGTCACTGTGACTTGTGTTTTGGCAGAGACTTGAAGGCAGTCAGGAGGGTGGGAAAGCTTTTTAAAAAGAAAGGCTTCAGGTACGCTTGGACTGGAGGCTGTCAGCATGGTGAAGCTGTAGATAGATGAAGGAAATCAAAATATTTTACCCCAGAATGTATTTCTTTGGCATATTTTAAGATGGCTGTCAGAGAGCCAGCAAACAGAATTAACTCTGCAAAACTGTCTTTTGTAGGGGAAATTTACACCTGCAGAGAATCTTCATTAATCCAGCCTTACCTTGTCAGGATTGAGAAACAAAAATAAGCCTTAGGCCCTACAACCAACTGAACGGACTCTCTCTTGGCTGACAGGACTGCAGAGAATCCTTGAAAGCTGTTTCTGGCTGTGGCAGGCTACGAGGTCGCACATGCCCCCTTAACACCCCTCCCTCACTAACTGCCATTATGAGGCAGGAGAACAGCAGAGGGAATTGGAAGTTGGATAAAAGGCAGAATGAGTAAAAGCAGAAACAGAAGCAAGGTGATGGGGTGGGAGAGCAAGAAGCAAGATAAAAGGCGGAAGTTGAGCAGCCAAAACAAAAAGTAAGATTAAAGAAAGCAAGCAAGCCCGGGCTCGGTGGCTCACGCCTGTAATCCTAGCACTTTGAGAGGCCAAGGCGGGCAGATCACCTGAGGTCAAAGTTTGAGACCAGCCTGTAAAACATGGCAAAAACCCGTCTCTACCAAAAATACAAAAAATTAGCTGGACATGGTGGAGCACTCCTGTACTCCTAGCTACTTGGGGTTCAAGGAGCATCGCTTGAACCTCGGAGGCAGAGGCTGCAGTGAGCTGAGGTTGCGCCACTGCACTCCAGACTGGGCAACAGGGCAAGACTCTGTCTCAACAAACAAACAAACCAGAAAAAAAACAGCAAGCAAGGACCCCATGGCCGGCAAGTTCCAAACCAGTAAAGGGGCAGCTCCTGAGAGTTATGCATTGAGAAAAAAGTATCCTTAACATGACTCCATATGATAATCAGCTCATTACAACTCATGCATATGGACTGCATATCATGCATGTACTTAAAAGTATGGGATGGAGGCAACGTGCAAGCACAGAAGGGCCAAAGTAACTAAGCAACCCACCTATCAATCAAAAGACAAACACTGGCTAACGATTGGGCATCCCTGTGAAGAGAAGAAAAACAACCACATATAAAAAGACCCAGAGTACACCAAACTCATACGGATCTCATCTCCCAGAGGCCAGCCCACTCTCCCTACTCTGAGAGTGTTACTGTGCTTAATAAACTTTTGCTTTGCTTTGCTGCTTTGTGTGTGTCACATACAGTTCTTTCTTTGGGACACCAAGAGCCTGGAAATGCACGGCACCATCTGGTAAGAATTAGGATGTTTTTCCTAAGGGTTAACAAACCAAGCCTTTGAAAAGACTTGCTTCACTACTGTTATCAACCAACAGCCTGATGCTTTCCCTCCCTTTCGTGGTTTTGACAACACAAGCAAGCAGCATTCCCTCCTAAGGGACTGTCAACCTAGGAATGATTCTAGCTAGACTACAGAGGATGTACAGTGAGGGTTTTCATGTCCTCTGCTTCAGCTTTTGACGTCAGAGGGCCACAAACTCCACTCTCAGATGATTGCTAATGCCACCATTTTATGAACATGGGCCCCACGGAGAGGCACGAAGCTCAACTGCACATCTGCACATTGTTCCTCTTATAAATATTCATATTGGGATATGATTTGGTGCTGCTCCTCTGAAAGATACATTTGCAGAATGGATTCAGATTAGAAGCATTATAAGCACTATAATGTAGCAATGGCTCATCCAGCTCTCTACACTATAGAAAGATCTGTGGTGTAGACATTTCCACAATGACACAAGATATGTGTACAAGAATGGTGACTGCAGCATTCTTTGTAATCCTAAAAACATGAAACCAACCTCATCTCAAAAACAATTTTTTTTTTTTTTTTTTTTTTTTTTTTTGAGATGGAAGCTCGCTCTGGAGTCCACTCCAGGCTGGAGTGTAGTGGTGCGATCTCAGCTCACTGCAGCCTCCACCTCCTGAGTTCAAATGATTCTCCTGCCTCAGCCCCCCGAGTAGCTGGGACTACAGGTGCGTGCCACCATGCCTGGCTAACAAAAACATTTTGAAAAGGGTTAAATAAATCCTGCACAAACTGAGGAAAAATACTGTTTTCAAAATAATGGAGAGGATCCCTGTCATGATGAATGATTCCACTAGTCACGTTATTGATAGAGCAATCAGGAAATCCAGGCACGTCCTGGAGGTAATACTGGACTCCTACTACTAAAATATGAAAAAATGGAGGCATGTAAATTACTCGTTTAAGCGTATAACAGACTGAATTAGAATTTTATCACACCAGAAGTGGGTTCCTAGGTCTCTGTTTCAGGATTCCTGAGTTACACCAGTGTAAACCCAGTATTTCAGGAGATACCCGGTTAAGAATCTGGTAGGGGAGGTGGGCTGGGCCTTGACATGGATCAGTCATAAATCAGTGTCTTGGGACTCCGGAAAGATAAAATCCTCTCCATTTGTCTAGTGATTGACAATGCGTGAATGCTTTAAAAGTTCCAAGAATCGTCCCTGGGTGGGCTCGAACCACCAACCTTTCGGTTAACAGCCGAACGCGCTAACCGATTGCGCCACAGAGACAACCGTTCCCAGCTTTACTGGGCGATGCAGGAAGGGCCACTCGCTAAACTTGCTCCTTTCCGTACATTCTCGGGGCCTGCCCGGCAGGACGACTGAGCAAGGCGTTGGAAAACCAGAGAGATTAGAGCGGTGAGTCGCGCTGGTCACGTTGGACACCTGCGCGTTAGGAGATTCTGGAGCCGGAGGAACAGCCGAATGGCCTTCGCCCGTCCTGCCCCTCGCCCGCTTCAGGAGCTTCCGGAAACTCCCCGGTGGGCGACCCAGCCCGAGCCGCCTGGGGGCTCAAGGGAAGGTGAACCCCCAGTGGGCTCCCGGGATGGTTCTTCCCATTCTTTGCGGCGCCTTCACCCAGTGAAGGAGCCTGTGCCCACCCTGCCCAGTCGCTTTCGGGGCTGCTGAGGAGCTTCCGCTGCCATCTTCGGATCCTGTGTTCCGCACGGGGGCTCCACCAGGGCAGGGATGGTGGTGAGGGTCGCTCGTGGGTCCCCTCGTGGGGAGCAGGGTCTGGCACGACTAGGACTTGTCAATGAATTCATCGTCGCCTTTAGCTTTTAGTCCTTTGAAGAACCCTGAGAGTGGAAATCAAGAGATTTTTTCCATGGGGACGTTCTTTTTACAAAGCGTTGATTTCTGGGCACCCCGCAGGGCGGGCAACTGGCAGGGCCTCCGGAACATCTTCTTCGCGGTGGAACCGCGGGGGCTCAGCTGGGCAGTGGTCGGGCCGTGGGGCAGCAGGGCGAGAGCAGGGGAACGGAAAAGCAAAAGCTGGGAAAGAAGCCGGGGAGCGGTGGACCAGACATCCAGACCTCCTGAAAGAGGCACCGGCGGGGTCTTCTGGAAGTGAAAATTGCTTTTGTTTGTTTATTGTAGCAGAATCGGGAAATGGAGAGAGAACCTGAAAGAGTCCCAAACTCGAGGACCTATTGCTCCCCGAGAATAACATCTTCCAGAAGAACTAGGCAGAAAACTAGGCGTCTGGGAACCCTGAAATCCCTGGAGGAGTAGCATCATCATGACCCTCTGTGTTCTTTTGGCAAAGGACTTGCTTCCGTTGTTTGTTCAATTATCTGTTTGTTAAATAAATAAAACCCTTTTCATATATCTTTAAAATTACCTTGGTCCTATTATTTTATGATTACAAATAATGCTGCAGGCATCATTCTACAAGTACGCTTCTCATTGACCAGTGGTGTGGAGGCCTGGAGAGTAGTTGTTCCAGCATAGTGTTTACATAGATTTTTTTCATTCCATTTTCTTTGTTGCTTTATTAGGTATAACCCTTTTCTTATTTCAGAGGCTGCTTTAGGGTTTCTGGGATACATCTTTAATTTATCATAATCTGCTTTCAAGTGTCATTATACTTCCCTTTCTGGCCTTTATCCTAGCATTACGTATTTTTACTTTATGCACTACAAGCTTTGTGATTCATTATTATTACTTTTACTTATTACGTCAGAAAAAAAAATTTTTTTTGAGACGGCGTCTTGCTCAGTTGCCCAGGCTGGAGTGCAATGGCGCGATCTCGGCTCCGCCTCCCGGGTTCACGCCATTCTCCTGCCTCAGCCTCCCGAGTAGCTGGGACTACAGGCGCCCACCACTATGCCCAGCTAATTTTTTTGCATTTTTAGTAGAGACGGGGTTTCACCGTGTTAGCCAGGATGGTCTCGATCTGACCTCGTCATCCGCCAGGCGTGAGCCACTGCGCCCAGCGGAAGCATTGTCATTTCAAATATCATCTTTCTTTCGTATGTTCGTAAATATGGCATAAAGCCGGTTTCTTGTGTTGCTTACACAATTTTCAGAATGTGTATTTAAATTTAAAATATTAAATTTTACTAAAAAACTAAAAATAATAATCATGAATGTCCTAGATTCATCTTAAGTTCCAACAGTGCACTTAAAATGTGCCCAACCTGAGGGTCAAACCTACCTGCTGATGTGTAACTTGTGTTTGTGAGACACTCTCAACAGCATTTGCTTTCCCCGGACTAGTGATTTTCCTCACATCTGAATGTCTTCAGTGCAAAAGGAAACGTTTTTCTTTGCAAAAATACTTTAAAATATTCTTCCTTCAAGTAAGTGCATTAAAAACAAATTTCCCAGTTGCATCCCTGAAATGCATCGAAAGCGCGGGAGAGACAATCAAGTGCTTCAGGATCAAGAGCTAAACAGGGGAGGACAAAGGTGGCTTCTTCACTAGGAGTCAAGCCAAAGTCAACTGATTTGGTCTCCAATGGAGACCGGAACTCGGTTCACCTGCGTCGTGAGGAGGCGCTCCAGCGGAGGCGGGACTTTCTGTCATGGTGCCTTCAGATAGGAAATCTCCTAGGATTTCCTTCTTTCCCTTTGATCTACTGCCAACTCTCCCTTTCTACTTCTTCAAGACCTTTTTCAGATCCCTACTGCGAAGGGCCTAAGGGGCCGGTGCCCTTCCCTACCGGTCCCTCCCTGACTGGGTGTCTTCGGAGCCCAAGCTCACCCGGAACATAACTGCCCGCTTGAGACAGCGAGAGGACCAAGGAGGGCGGCGGGTGTGCTGGAAACCAGAGTCACCGCGCACCTGCGTCTCGTGGGCTCCTAACAAATTGAATAAATGCCCCCTGAAGCTTCTCTGCAGGTCAGAGGGAAGGGGAGGGTGGCTGCCCACCCGGCGGGAGAAGCTTCAAGAAGCGTCGGGAGGACCTCGCCCTGCCCCTGGGCCTTGAAGACAGGCCTGGCCAGGCTGATTTTGACGGGTAGGCCCCCCAAAAATGTTCAAGGGCGGCCCAAACCCCGACCCCGAGATTAAGGCTCTGAAATGTCTGACGGGTTTGAGAATCCTCAGTCGAATCGATCCCGCCTGTATGTATCAGGAGACTCCTTTGCCAAAATTCAGAGACCAAGAAAGAGAAAGATTGGGCAGATCAAAGTCTGTAATTAACCAAACAGGAAACATAATTTTTCTGACACATTGGATGTGTGCTGTGAGAAAAAGACTAACCTCAAGGAGAATCTGTTTTTTTGGCTTGAGTGTAGGGAAGAATGGAGTTGCCACCAACAATGGTGCGTTGAAACGGCAGGTGCATCAGGCTGTAGATGTGAAGGAATTAAAAATATTTTACCCCAAAATACATTCCTTTGACATATTTTGAGATGTCTGTTCAGAAAGCCAGCTGCAGAAGTAGCCCTGCAAAGTTGTCTTTTGGTGGGGAGATTTGCATCTGTAGGGAATCTGCATTGACACAGCCAAGTCTTTCCTTGCCCAGATCTAGGGAAGATTAACCGAGAGTCTGACACCTGTATACGTCTGAAAGAAACTTTGAGGGTTTATTCTCTCTGAGAGCTGCTACCGGAAAGGTTTCATTTACATATTAAGACCATCTTTGCTTGCCAAGCCTCTCTTCTCTCCCTCCCATAACCTGTCTTGCCCACAATACATGGATATACCTCTAACTCTGATGGTACCTGGTTTTGGCCATACTTTGAGCCCTCATTCATTCTGTTACCTCGAGATGGTAGATAAGCTTCTGCATCCCATTGTGGGTAGGGTAGGGTAATCACTCTGTGGCTCTCCCCATGTACATGTTAGTACATTTTATGGCATTTCTCCAATTAATCTGCTTTTGTGACTTGATTTTTGAGTGAAACTTCAGAGGGTTAAGAGGGAGGGTTTCCATTGGTCCCTACAGTTTTGGAGATGTAAGCAGGATACGAAAGCTCTGCTCTTCTGGAATCTACAGTGAATAATCCAGGATCTGATCAGCTGTCATGAAGGTAAGAATTTCTTTTTACCAGCGGGGCTCCCGGCCTCCTCCTCTGTGTGGAATCTGATCAAGTGGACAGTAAAACTCACTGTTTCTTTCTTTTCCCTCTCCAAAATCTTGCTTAATTGGAGAAAAGAATTTGTGTGACTAGTCTTGGGTGTAGTGACTCTGGTGTGCTTTTTGGTACTTTGTGGTACCAATTCATGTTGTTTAATCCTTTTCTTCCCAGAAATTGTCTGTTCCTCTGTCTTTGTCTCTGTGTGTTATTCTGTCATAAAAGGGGGTACTGGTTGAGGTTCCTTCTCATCTTATTTTATGTCCTTGAGAGCTTGACTTGTGACCAAGTGGGAGCACTTCCTCTTGGTTTCTGCTATCTGGTAAGAGGTAGTCATTTTCAGATCATACTAGGTGGCCTGTCTGAAAATGGCTGGGAACCCAAGCACACTTTTTGTTCTGACTATGTCAAGCTCTTGGGGTTTGTCTTAAGAAGTCCCATCCCTTTGAGGCTTTTGTCATCTCAACTCTTGTTACCTGGTTAGTCCTAGGAAAGCTCAGTCGCAAGAGGGCCTACCTGGTATCATAGATTCACAGGTCTGTGACAGGAAGCCCCCACAAATTTGTGGGTTACTGGAGGCAGACATCATCCTTAACCACCTGTCGCCTACTCCTTGCATTGAACTTTTTTCTTGCAGGGGAATCTTCGGAATTGCCTCTTCTTTGCCCTTCCCAGAAGGTCAGCCTGGAAAATGACATCCTGCACTTTCCACAAAGAGGCTATTTGGTTGAATTGCTGTTGGAATAATTACACCATTGGAAATTCTAATTGCCAATGGCCTGAAGATGGATCCCTTAAATTAGATACCTGAATTAAAAAAAAAAAAAAAGATTTTAGAGATCTCTTATTTTAAACAGTTGATAGGAAGATCAAATTAAAAGAAAGGCACATACTAGTGTCATGGCTACCCTTAAAAATTGTCTTGACAATATTATCTGTGTTGTGTAGGGAAAAAATTCTCTTGACTAAATTAAAGAGCAAAATTTGACCCAAAACAAAGTTAAAATTCTTCATCAGCTCAAACTGCTTGCTCTGGATCCCTTCCAGGATTCACAACAAAGTCTGCTCACCTTGCAGTTCAGTCCTTAAAGTTCTGTGGTTTTGCTGCCATAGCCTGTTCAATTTCCAGTCAGGGAACCAGTTTATTTTGGCTTGCTATTTGTGTGACTTTTGACTTTTTTGGAATACCCATTTATTGATCCTCTTCCCTTTCATGTGCAGCTTTTGTTTGTTCATTTGTTTGTTTGTTTGTTTGTTTATGAAGACGGAGTCTCACTCTATCACCCAGGCTGGAGTGCAGTGGTGTGATCTTGGCTCACTGCAACCTCCGCCTCCCAGGTTCAAGTGATTCTCTCACCTCTGTCTCTCAAGTAGCTGGGATTACAGTCACCCACCACCATGCCCGGCTAATTTTTGTATTTTTAGTAGAGACAGGGTTTTGCCATGTTGGCCAGGCTGGTCTTGAGCTCCTGACCTCAAGTGATCTGCCTGCCTCGGCCTCCCAGTGTTGGGATTATAGACATGAGCCACCACTCCTGGCCATTGGCAGCTTCTGATTTCCCGTCCTTCCAGCTTCCAAAGTTTCTGATGAGAAATCTGTTTATAATCTTATTAAAGATTTCTTGCATGTGACCAGTTGCTTTTCTCTTACCGATTTAAAGATTCTCTGTCTTTGATGTTTGAAAGTTTGATTATAATGTGTTTTGGTGTAGGTCTCTTTCAGTTTATCTTACTTGGAGTTTGTTAGGTTACTGTGTCTGTTTTCATGTGTTTCATCAAATTTGGGGAGTTTTCAGCTATTATTTCTTCAAATATTATCTCTTGCCCTTCTCTCCCTCTTCTTTAGAAATTCCACAATGCAAGTCTGGGCAAGTCTAGAGTAGCTGAGACTACAGGCGCCCACCACCTCACCCGGCTGGTTTTTTTGTGTTTTTTCAGTAGAGACGGGGTTTCACCGTGTTAGCCAGGATGGTCTCAATCTCCTGACCTCGTGATCCACCCGTCTCGGCCTCCCAAAGTGCTGGGATTACAGGCTTGAGCCACCGCGCCCGGCCTATTTTTATTTATTTTTATTGTTGTTGTTGTTGAAAACTGGACATTTGAATCGACTAGTGTGGTTAACTCTAGAAACTAGATTCTCCTCCTTCCTCAGGGTTTTCTGTTTTTTCGTTATTGTTTTGTTTTTTGATTATTGTAGGTTATGTGTATGCCAAGGATCAGCCCTGAGGTATAAACTTACGGTCTTCACAGATGTTTTCTGAGCCTGAACCTTTCCCTGGGTGTGTGGTCACAACCTAATTTTACCTATATATGCA